TTTTTTTCTAGATCCTAATAGGCTCAAGATTGTGTTGATTTTAAAGTTTAATTCTCTGGCCGGGTGGGGTGGCTCACGCCTGTAATCCTAGTACTCTGGGAGGCCGAGGCGGGCAGATCGCTGGAGGTCAGGAGTTCGAAACCAGCTTGAGCAAGAGCGAGACCCCATCTCTACTAAAAATAGAAAGAAATTAATTGGCCAACAAAACATATATATAGAAAAAAAAATTAGCCGGGCATGGTGGCACATGACTGTAGTCCCAGCTACTCAGGAGGCTGAGGCAGAAGGATTGGTTGAGTCCAGGAGTTTGAGGCTGCTGTGAGCTAGGATGATGCCATGGCACTCTAGCCCATTCAACAGAGTGAGACTGTCTCAAAAAATAATAAATTAATAAATAAATAAATGAATAAAAATAAAATACCTAGCATAAGTAAAAGAGGCAAGACTCCTGCTTTGAAGAAGCTGATAATCTATTGTAGAAATTTCCAAATTCTTGGGGTCACTTCACATTTGTCTCCAGAAGAGAACCCCTAAGTCCAAAATGCTATTTTTCAAGCCAACAGTAAATTTAAATAGAAAAACAGTAATTCAATGGCCCGAAAGCAAAAGACGGAGCACCTATTATTAGACAAACTGTAATCACTGCTTTCCAGCAGTGGGGCTTCAGCACTGAACCCAAAAGCAGAAATAAAAAAGAAGCCCACTATGTGTAAGTCAGTGGGCACCTGGGGCTCTACCAAAGATGGGGTAAACTACCAAGTGGTAAACAGGAACGGAGGATAACTGGAGAGCTATCTTATTCTGGTTATTTTTTTAGGAATAATCTATATAATCCATGAGCTAAATAACAACAGCAAACAATCAAAAAATGTAGTTTATCTGAGAAAAACTTTAGAGCTCAGGTAAAAACTGAATAAAATCACGAACAGATAAACACTGAGTCAGGCTATCATCAATAGATTTTTGCTGCTATTATTTTGTTATTTCAGGTAGGAGTTTTTTTCCCCCTTATAAAAAAAAATTATAAAAATACACTGAAAAAAAGATCTGGAAAGCACAGAAAAGTATCGCAATAATAATGCCACTGCTCAAAAAACTATATAAATATTCAGTTAGATATCTTGTTTCAGAATGTTTCTATTATATAATTCTTTTTCTTTTCACAAAACTGACACCATAGTGAATAGGCAGTTGTGTATCGTGTTTTTATCATTTAATATTAGAAGCATTTCCAATGTACTCATTCTTTTAAAACATGAATCTTAAGGTTGGATAATAGTCCACTATGTGGCTTTGCAAAAATTTCACCACCCTCTTATTTTTGGGCAGATTATAGCATTGTTTGCAGAACAGAATAAATGAGTGTTGATGAGTACCCTTCTTCATAACTCTCTAAATATATCCTTGTGATAAACTCTTAAGAGGGGAATTAAGTCAAAGGATACGAACTTTCTAGGGCTCTTGATATTTATACAAAAAGTCCTCGGTTCAAACTTCCCAGCACTTTATCAGAGCAACCACATCACCCCTTGGCAGCACAAGATATTTTTACTTTAATCTTCATCAATATGATAGATTAAAAAGGACTTCTCATTTTAATCTGCAGTTCTTTGGTTAGTAATGAGAATGAATGTCTTAAATACATTCATTTTCATTTCTTATTTATGGCACTCTATGCCTTTTAATTCTCTACCAGGATATTGTATTTTTTTAAAATTTGATGTGAAAAAGCTCCAATATATCGAAATATATAGCAAATATATCTGTCATGTGTTTACATGTCCCCTCAGTTAGAGCACACCTGGCTCTTGATCTTTAATTTCCATAGTTAAAGCACCAAACTTTTCTAAAATGGAACTGGTAACAATCTAATCCCCACCAGAACCACTCCTAACAACACCACCTTTGCACTTTTATTCTCAATCTGTTCACTGGGATGCTGTATTTAAGCACCAAGCTCAAGGGGTACTAAAGACTTGCCCAATGAGCCCAAAATGCTATTGGGCCCAAGTGCTAGACTGGAAAATATAGAAAAACTTGGAATTGGTTCTTCATCCAATTGAGTGTACTTTGAATCACTTAAATACTAAGATGCTTATCACATGCTTCTGGGTAAAAAAAAAAATTGTCTTTGGTCCTCCAAAAGCTCACTTGTGGAGGGTACACAGGGTAGCAGAAGACAAAAAATATGAGCTCTAGAGTGGACAAACCTGGGTTTAGAATCCTGAGATGAATCCTGTCATGTTCTTGCTGTGTGAACTTGGTCAAGTCATTTTGCCCCTCTGGGCTACAAATTCCTTATCTATATGATGAGAATAAAATTATCAGTTTTAGGATTATCATGAAGATTAAATGGGATGAGGTATGTAATGTTTATAATCAGGAATTTGGTATGTGGTAGGTACAATTCAAAAAATGTGATTTTCCGGCCAAGCACGGTGGCCCACACCTGTAACCCTAGCACTCTTGGGAGGCCAAGGCAAGAGGATTGCTTGAGCTTAGGAGTTTGAGACCAGCCTGAGCAAGAGCAAGACCCCACCTTTACTAAAAATAGAAAACATTAGCGGGGCATGGTGCTATGCACCTGTAGTACCAGCTACTCAGGAGGCTGAGGCAGGAGTTTCACTTGAGCTCAGGAGTCTGAGGTTGCAGTGAGCTATGATGATGCCACTGCACTCTAGCCTGGGCAACAGAGTTAAAGTCTGTCTCTGGAAAATAAAATGTGATTTTTCCACTCTGATGGTGCTAAAACAATTATTTATTTAATTCAAATGATCTTACATAAAATGTTGGCCTGATAGTCTGCTGTCCCAGCAAAGCATCATCTGGGGTAAAAACATTTAGGTCAGCTTTCTGTCAACTGTGATTTCTACCACTATAATTATGTAATCATCAACTGCTACTGCAAGACAACAAAAACTCCAAAGTTGATGTTGCTGAAATTGCTAAATTCAGTAATTACTTGGGTCTCAAGATTATGACCACCAATTCCTATAAGAAAGCAACAAAAATCTTTGTAATTAAAGGAACAAAAGGCTAATTAGTTATCCCAGACGACGGTCTCTACAGAAGGCTTTGGTCACTGCCCAGAATGGCAGCATACACAGAAGTCTTTCTCAAACTGCTGTTTTCTCACACCCCATACTTTGAAAGGAACAATGTTAACAAAAGAACTGAAAGCAAAAAGACAGAAAGAAAGGGTATTCTCCTTTGAAATTTGGCCTTATTGGTAATGATTCCTGGCAAGAGGCTTTACCCTGGTAAAATAATCTCTAGGAGGAATGCATACTCTGTAAAATCTACCAACACAGCCCCTTTCTATGGAAAAAGCAAGACACACAGTCTCCCTGTAAATGTAGATTACCTTAGGAAAGGAAAGGAATCAAAGTATCTAAAGTATCAAAGTACTAAGCATCTATGTTCAGAGTGCTGTACTATATGCTTTAATTATAATATCCCTCAAATCAAACTATGAGGTAGATATTATCCTTTCTCAAAGACATTAAGTAACTTGCCCAAGGTTTTATAGTCTGTAAGTGGAAACATTCAGCTCCAGCACACCAATCTGTCCAACTTTGAAACCTTTTTGTTTTCAATACAGTTTTATCAAATCTAAAAATGATTGTGCCAATTCTCTCATATAAGAAAGAATCCAATTTAAATTTTGGTTCCAATACTCTTCTAGACATTGGCCTAGGCAAAGAATTTATGAAGAAGACCCCAAAGGCAATCACAACAGCAACAAAAATAAACAAATGGGACCTGATCAAATTAAAAAGCTTCTGCACAGCCAAAGAAACTGTCAAGAGAGGAAACAGACAACCCACAGAATGGGAGAAAATTTTTGCAAGCTACACATCTGATAAAGGGCTGATAACTAGAATCTATTTAGAACTCAGGAAAATCAGCAAGAAAAAATCAAACAACCCTATCAAAAATGGGCAAAGGACATGAACAAACTTCTCAAAGAAGACAGAATAATGGCCAACAAACATGAAAAATTTCAACATCTCTAATCATCAGGGAAATGCAAATCAAAACACAATGAGATATCACTTAACTCCAGTGAGAATGGCCATTTATCAAAAGTCCCCAAACAACAAATGTGCTGGCGTGGATGCGGAGAGAGAGGAACACTCCTCATCACTGTCTGGTGTGGACTGCAAACTAGTTCAAAACCTCTTGTGGAAAGCAATATGGAGATATACTCAAAGCGATACAAGTAGAGGATCTACCATTTGATCCAGGCAATTACCGAACTTGACCTGGAGCCATCTAACTCAAAAGATCAAAAGTCACTTTATGAAAAGACACGCTGATCGTCGCAATATATATAGAGCACCACATTCAACAATTGCAAAGCTGGTGGAAAAAAGCCCAAGTGCGCATCAATTCGATGCGTGATTAATAAATGTGGTATATGTATACCATTGAATACCACTCAGCTCTTAAGAAACAATGGTGAGTATAGCACCTCTTGTAGTTATTCACTGACCGGATACAGCTCGAACCTCATTCATACTAAGTGAAGTATCTCAGAATGGAAAGACAAGCACCCCACATAATTACGTCACCAGCAAATTGATATTAACGACCTCAGTAACACCTAAGGCATATAGCAGAACAGTTATCGGGTGTCGGTAAGGGTGGAAGGAGGAAGACGGGTACTATACAACTCACAACGGGTAAGATGTGCAGCGTTGTGTCGGGACATGGACCGCTTGAAGCTCTTACTCGAGGGGGGATGGGGGCATGGGCAATATATGTAACCTTAACACTTGTACCCCCATAATACGCTAAAATAAAATCTAAAAAAAAATTGTAAATTTTGGTTCCAAAACAAACAAATAAACACAACAAACTGAGTATCCACCAAAAGAATGACCATTTCTGTCAATTAGCAGATTGCTTTCCTTCCTCCTAATAGCCCTTAAAATGAACTGAGGAAATCACACAGGGTTCCCTTTTTAAAAATCTTAAATCTATAAAGAAAACGGTACCTGTTGACAACCACAGAGCACTGAAGCAAAAGCAAGTATAAAACAGGTACAGGCTTCTCAACCACTTCACAGATGTCTGCCAACAACATCCTGATAAAATCCAGGAAGCAGGACTTGGCATGACTCCCAGCCTCTTCTCCATGGCCTTCCAGACAGGCGGAACCAGTACACTAGAAAGACAGAAAGAGAAGAATTTGTATGCCAAGTAATTAATAATTGATTCCTGGAAATGTGGAATGCTAGAGAATGTGACAGATTAGGGGAAAGAGAAATTTTGAGTCTGTCTTTTACTGCTTATACCTGCCTATAAATTTTAAACCTGAGCTTTGACATAGCCTATAATTATCAGGATAACAACACGGCAAGAGATGGATATGAAACGAATCCACCAAAAACTGAAACACTTTATATTCCACTATTTTCTAATCTAACAGTAAATCATCTGTGTGATAGAACTGAAAGAGTACCAGCCTGAAAATAAGATCTGAGTTTCAGTTACAGTTCTGCTACTAACAGCTTTAAGACTTTCACTAAACATACTTTCTTATCTATCACAAGAGGAGGGTGGACCTTCAGAAGTAAACCAACCTGAGGGTTATGTCTGGCCCAGTGTATTTAAATTTTTTAATACGATTATCTTTAAGCAGCACATGCAACTTTCCAGTTTGCTACTATCTCCACTCACAACTAATACCTTAAAAAATCTGTTCAATTTACACCTCACTTCTAACCATCCCCATCCCTGCACTGTGCTGGCTACCGTAGAACCTAGAGGCTGTATGATTTAGGTCCCTTTCAGCAGAAAAACAGATTTTCCATGTTTCTTCCCTCTTACACAACTTGCTATATTGTATAAATTATTATATAAATCTTGGCAACATTATGAGGGTTAACTGAATTCTGAAGAAGCAACTCAAAAATCTTCTGTCCTAACTATGCATCACATCTGGCAAATGATACAAGCTGACAACACCTGACCCCCATCCCTAGCCAGCATACAGGGAAATCCGCACTATCTGGGCTGGATATCCATGCTGACTAATGCCAGAAAACAGACACAGACGCACACACAGCTAAAAATGTGAGGGGCAGCCCACCCAAAAAAAAAAAAAAAAAAAGGCTTTCACTGTGCCATAAGCATCTGAAAGACTTCATCTTTCTCATTCACTTCCATCCACTACTATTTCTAGCTGTTTTGTATTGTATTTATGGGAGCAGGGGACAGAAAAGAGGTGTGTGGGCCAGAGACATGTTCAAGAGATTATGAAACGCAGCCTAAGTTAGAAAGTATACCAGCAACTTCTCTAGCCTCCCAAGATGGAATGGGTAAGTATGCATGCGTGTGGTTTGTGCGTGTGAGAATCTTACCCAACACATTTCTGCCTACCACAAACGGATTTAAAAATCAAGGTGACTCAACACCTGTCATTAATAGCCTTATAGGTGGGTGGGAGAAGCAGAAAAGAAATGAATAGGTTTTGAAAACAGGAGTAATAAACACCATGGGACTAGCAAGCTGATTAGAAGTGCAATGTCTTACAAACCCTGCATTATAGACCAGCAGAATTACTTTCATTTGAACTCCCAACCGGTCATTCTTCTGAAACCTACAATTGCCCAAGGGCACAAATCACTGCTAGGGTCCAGCTAAAGGCTTGCTGACCAGAGGCAGGAACAACACAGCACCAGGATCCAAATAGTTTGTTGTGGAATCAAAGGGTAACAACCCAGGGAGAGAACACACACCCCCACAATACTTGACAAATGAAAATGTAGAAAAGCTTGCAATAGTTCTGGCATTTAGGGCGTTACAAGTACACCCAAAATAAAAGCACTCTGTTACAGCAGCTGTTCAGACAGAGCAGGGGGTAATGTTTACTTAATACTTCAGGTTGATGGGGGATGTATCATAGTTCAGTCTGTCAGCTACATACGTGGAACTCCATTTATGTACACAGCGATAAGATATGTTTGAACAACGACAGAGCACGACTGAAACAGCCTATTCAGCTGGTATGAATAATCAAGAATAAAGCTCTTTTTAAAAAAGTCTCAGATATTTGGGAAAGTTACAGAACAGACTGCCATGAATAGCTTTGCTTATATTTGCAGACATTGTTTTCCAAATAGCTGGAAAAATGAACAGATTGTTCTGGGAGGTCGTCTTTCCAATTTGTTCCTAGTTTTCAGTCTGTTGCTCACATAAGCAAGCACGAGGAGAGTGGCTAATGCTCTTCACTAACTGCAACTATTGTCAGTTGGGCACAACCACCATGAGATGACAGAATGCAAAGCTTTCCTTGAATTCCACCTGATGTTTTCTATTTTGACTTCCTTCACTTCACCTTTGTGCTCACTGCAGCCACCACGGGACCCTCTATGGGGCATAATTTTCAAAATCCTGAATGAAGTAGGTTTCACATCATAATTTACACATCGTGCTAAACCCCGCCCCCCCTTATTCTGCACCAGCTTTCTATCAATATCTTGGTGAGGAAACCAAACACCAGAGACAGCAGCTAAGGGCAAAGCTGCAGAGGTCAAGGGTGGAAGGACGACAGCGCCCCAAACCCAGTCTGTCCACCTGTCAGGGGATGGAGGGAGCTGCACTACCAGGCCTGGGCCGAAAGCAGCGGAGTCCAGTCTGGGACCCAAGCTGCGCACCTGCAAGGCCAGAAGGGGCTGGCTGCCCAGGCCGGCCAGGAGCGCCACCTCCGGGTCCCGACACCCGGCCAGCGCACCCCTAGTCCCGCCTGCCCCTCCCCTGAGTTCATGGTCCTCGGCCTGGCAGCCAGCCGCCCCGGCCACCTACCGGGGCTCAGGGCCACATAGCAGGGCCCCGGCTCTTGGCGGCCTCCGCCTCCTCCTGGTCCATGGGCTCGGGGGCCCCAACCTTCGCTCCCCTCACCCGGAGGAGGAGGAAGAGGAAGAAGGTAGTGCCGGTTCCCCACCCGAACAGCTACCTCTCGCCTCAGCCTCCCAGGACAGCGACAGCGACCGGAAACGCCGCCTCCTCCCACCTCCCGAGGCTCAACCCGGAAACACACTCTTTTGCTAACCAAGACCTCCCGCCCCTCCCCCCGGAAGCGCAATTCCAGCTGCCAGCCCGAGGGGGAGGAGGGGCAGTGCTGGGTGGGTAGAACTACGCACAAGCGAAGGAATCTAGGCCCCCAGCCTCTCGCCTCCCGCTTTCCAGAGGCAGTCTGCACCTTGCCTCCTTTGCACGAGCCCCAGGCCCCAGACTCGGGCAATACCCACAAGCAAGATGGCGTCAACGGCGGCACCCCCTACGGCTTAGCGCCCAGACATGCCATTGGCCAGAGGCGGGAGTGAAGCGGCCGCGGATTGGCCGAGAGCGTTGCGGGGGTGGGGGTGGAGCTGCAGTAGCCTGGAGCACGGAGTGGGCAACGCGGCGTGAGCAGCGGCTCCAGGTTCCCGGAGCATCGCGCTCGGAGAAGACTTCGCCGCTCGGGGCCGCAGCCTGGTGAGCTCAGCCCCCTTCAGGCCTTCCCCTGCATCCCAGCCGGGGCCTCTCCGAGCTGGCGCTGATCGATGCCGACACACCCCGGAGACCCTATCGCGACTCCATCGTGCCATATCGCGACATCATCGCGCCCTGTCGAGACTCCATTTTGTCACAACCCTTTTCAATATATATCTTTTTTTTTTTTAATTTGCCCTGTCATCTTTGGGGGCTGTCTCCCATGTTGTGATTTTGCCGTGATCTCTCCGTGACATCACCGCGCCATCGTGAAGTGTGATCTCATCGCCGCCCTGTCGTGACTTCATCAATGTCGTGTTGTGACCTGGCTGCGGCGGGACAGGTGGTGACCGCCAGGAACCCTCCTTCCATTCTCATCTCCCCATCTCAGCAGCCCCGCTTCGATTATCCGGCTTTTGGATTCTCCGTTGTCCTGGGAACTCTCCGGGACCCCTTCTTGCTTCTCCAGCCCCTGCTGGCATCCACAGGCTTGTAGCGGGACGGGGAGAGCGAGGAGAGGGAACGCAAAGGGTTAATTTTGCTGCTGCTGCTGCTGCTGCTGCTGCTGCTGCTGCTGCTGCTGCTGCTGCTGCAGCCTCTGCCCAAGGGAGGGAAGGGAGAGGAGGCAAGGAGCCTGCGGGGGCGACTGAGAGCCCTGGCTGGAGGGTTGGGGTCCCCAGAGGGGCCTCCAAGCCTTCCCTCCTGAGCACCCTGTATTCTCACTTCTGCTGAAGCTCATCTCCTGCCTCTGAAGAAGGGAGGGGAAAGGAAGCCTAGGATGTCCTTTCCCCTATGTCAGCCTGAGTCCGGATAATCGAACTTCACCCTTATATGTCTCCATTCCTCCCTGTCTGTCCTCACCACTCACTCCCTCTGTGCCTTGGTGGAGGAAGATAAAACCTGGGCTCTGGTGCTAGGGGGACAGCCAAACAGTGAAGCCAGCCCCCGCCCACCCCCAGGAGATTGGTGAGGAGAGCTGTCCAGCTGAACAGCAGGGTGCATGGTCCTTTCCCGCTTTCTGGAGGTGACCTTGGACCAGGGTCCCTTCTTCATCCCAAAGGATTTGCAGGTCCAGCCCCTTAAAAGGGCTCCCTCAAGGGAAGTCAGTTCTGAGGGGCCCCCCTCCAAGTCCTCTCCTCCCTCCCTCTGTGCTAATCCCTCCCCCACTCCCTCCATCCTCCAGTCTCACCCCCACCCCACCCCCGTTCCTCCTCTGCAGAGCGATGCTCAGTCCCTCTTGTGTTCACAGTTGGGCAAGGCGGGCATCATGGCCTCGGATTGTGAACCAGCTCTGAACCAGGCAGAGAGCCGAAACCCCACCCTGGAGCGTTACCTGGGAGCCCTCCGTGAGGCCAAGAATGACAGCGAGCAGTTTGCAGCCCTGCTGCTAGTAAGGAACTGGCTGGAAATTGAGAGGTGGGAAGGGCTGGGTGGTTGGGCCCCCAAGGAATGGGGTCAGCAAGTCCCCAAGGATAAGTAGGTTTTGCTGGCATCTCTGAATGCACCAAAGGAGACCCAAGACTCCTACCTTAGTACTCTTTTTTGTTCCCCTGAGAACAAGGGTAAATAAGGCTGTGGCACTAGGAGCCTTGGTGGAGGCTGCCTGGGTCTGCTTTCTGGGCGTCCCAGAGCAGATGGGAGCTGACTCATAGGGTAACAGCAGCAGGTAGTAACTAGTGCAGAGTACTTGAGGGCTGGGGATGATTGTTCTGGGCCTGGAGAGAGTAACAGGACTGGAAGTGGCTGGGGAGGGGTCCTAGGGATGGCCAGGATGGCCGTAGGTAGATTAAGGTAAGGGAGCTGGTTCGGGGCTTAGCCCTGTTGGAGGAACCCAAGCTGGGGACAGCAGAGCAGGAGCTGCAGTGCTGGGGGGGGGGGATTGGTGTGTGGGGAGTGAAGGGAGGAGGGAGTACAGCCGCTGCTTGTTTGCCATGGCAACAGGGAGAAGGCTCTGGAGTCAAGGGCTCACACTGCAGCAGAGGAGGTGTTTAGGTGAAATGTAAGGGGAAATGTTTTGACAGGCAGAGCGGCGAGACACAGGAGCCATTTCCCCTGAGAAAGTGGCAGAAATGGATCGGGGACTTCTCTGGAGGGAGCAATTAAGGAAGGACGTAAATCCTTGGGGGATTTTAAACATTGAGTGCTAAGCCCCTTCCAACCCAGGTTGTGGGCATCTAGATTACACATCAGGAAGAACTTCCTAACTGACCAGGTGATGAAATGCCCAAATGAGTAGTTGAGGAGGACTAGATCTCCTTTCCACAGGACAGCAGATAAGAGGGATCCCAGAGGTCACACCTATCTGTCTCCCAGGAGAAGGAAGTTGCTAGATGAAATGACCACAGAGTGAGTCGAGTTGCATAACCTAATCCTGCTAGTCCTTAATGCCCCAGGGGCAGGGAAGGAACAGTCTTTGCCTTCTTCCTTTCATCCTGCTGATAGCACATACCTCCTATAGGTGACCAAGGCAGTCAAAGCAGGTGACATAGATGCCAAAACTCGGAGGCGGATCTTCGATGCCGTCGGCTTCACCTTCCCTAATCGTCTCTTGACTACCAAGGAGGCGCCAGATGGCTGCCCTGACCACGTTCTCCGTGCCCTGGGTGTGGCCCTGCTGGCCTGCTTCTGCAGTGACCCTGAACTGGCCGCCCATCCCCAGGTCCTGAACAAGATTCCCATCCTTAGCACCTTCCTCACAGCCCGGGGGGACCCAGACGATGCTGCCCGCCGCTCCATGATTGATGATGCCTATCAGTGCCTGACGGCTGTAGCAGGCACACCCCGAGGGCCCCGGCACCTCATTGCTGGTGGTACCGTGTCTGCCCTGTGTCAGGCATACCTGGGGCATGGCTATGGCTTTGACCAGGCTCTGGCACTCCTGGTGGGGCTGCTAGCTGCTGCCGAGACACAGTGCTGGAAGGAGGCAGAGCCCGACCTGCTGGCTGTGTTGCGGGGCCTCAGCGAGGATTTCCAGAAAGCTGAGGATGCCAGCAAGTTTGAGCTCTGCCAGCTACTGCCCCTCTTTCTGCCCCCAACAACCGTGCCCCCTGAATGCCTCCGGGATCTGCAGGCCGGGCTGGCACGCATCCTCGGGAGCAAGCTGAGCTCCTGGCAGCGCAACCCAGCACTAAAGCTGGCAGCCCGCCTGGCGCACGCCTGCGGCTCCGACTGGATCCCGGCGGGCAGCTCCGGGAGCAAGTTCCTGGCCCTGCTGGTGAATCTGGCGTGCGTGGAGGTGCGGCTGGCACTAGAAGAGACAGGCACGGAGGTGAAAGAGGATGTGGTGACCGCCTGCTATGCCCTCATGGAGTTGGGGATCCAGGAGTGCACCCGCTGTGAGCAGTCACTGCTTAAGGAGCCACAGAAGGTGCAGCTCGTGAGCGTCATGAAGGAGGCCATCGGGGCTGTCATTCTCTACCTGCTGCAGGTAAGGCTGTAGTGACCCACAAAAGGCGCCCAGGATTGGGGGGGGCCAGTGCAGGGGTGGGAAGGCAAGGGAAAGGGGTGTGATGGGGAGAGACAAAGCCGCATGTACACGCGCTGATACTGTAGCAAGCACACCAGGGAGTAGTGTGCGGGGGAGCCTCCCTCCTTCTCCCTCCCTCCCTGAACCTCCACACAAGCACCAGAACCACACACCATATGTGCACTCACATCACAGTACACACGCACACACAACACAGTAACCTCCCACTCACACAATGCTCCCCAGTACACACACACTACACGCCACACATCTCTCCCCAACACACGCTCACAAAATTGAAGCAGTCTGTTCTGCTCACTGTATAGCATTGTTTTACATGCGTGCATACACACACACACACACACACACACACACACCCCAAACTTGTGACGGTGCCGGGAAAAGGAGCAGGAGGGCTGGCTGCCTAGTTTCTGGCCTTCATAAATGTCCAGCTAAATCTATCTGACTTCCTTCACTATGTCCCCTCGTCCCTCCCCACCTGAGAATCCAGCTATCCTGTTCTACAAGGATTTGGTCACGACTCTGGTCTCTTTAGTGGCCTGCTCCAGCCACTGAACTCGCTGGCCATATATCCAACGCACTATTCTAAGCTCTCGTCTTCTTCTCTGAATTAGCCCAAAAGGGAGGATCCCCCAACTCCCACCACTGGGGGCATTTACCCAGTAGCCAGGAGCCTGCCCTCCCACCCCAGGTCAGAGGTGCTGTAGGTGGAGTGTTTACTGTGAGTTTCCTCCAGGCTTGAGATACTTTAGAGGTAGGGAGATAGGGGGATGCAACCCGTGCAGGGGCATGTCCGAGATCCAGTTCTCTGGGCTGCACTGAGAGCCTGGCCTGCTCTGCACCAGGCCTTTGTTGGGTACGTCCCTACCTGTGCCAAGTGCTGGGTACACAGGTAGAATATGGCTTCTTGCCTGCGTTTAAAGGGCTTACAGGCCAGAATTCCCCCCCTAGCTGTGCTATTCCTAGGCTGGCTGGCAGGCTGGCCAGGCAGGGAAGGGTCTTTGGCCCTGCTCCATCTCAAGGGGGTCCTGTGGCAACAGGTGGGGCCGGAGAAGCAGAAGGAGC